ATGCATGCTCCAAGAAGGCAAGACCCTTGCTTGCTTTATTCATTCATTTTTGTATCCCTAGCTCCTGTTACATTGCCTGCCACAGCAGCAAGTACTCAATAAACATTTAAAATCCATGTGTGAATAATGTTATTACTATACGCACTACATGCCCACAGGGATGTTGTGAAAAATAAGAGAAAACGTGAAAAGCACCAGATTAAATCCACTGTAGCACAATGATTTCCTCTCTCTCATTCAAATCTTGGCAGTCTTCAGATCCTGACTACTTATTCTTCATAATGAATTTCTCTTTCATTTTCTTTTCAACACTTATAGAGACCATTTAAATCAAGTCTTCTCACATTGCAGCTATTGCTTTCATTTTTTTCTACCTTTAGTTTATGTTACACATTTTTCAGGTTAATCTTCTTAAAGCAATGCTTTGTGCAGATCATATGCACTCTCTTAATGGCCTTCAGTGTTCTCCCACCTTCTGAAGCTTGAGTCCAAACTCAAGAGGAGATTGGATACCTTTCATATTCTGACTAATTTACCTCTAGTCTCTTTTTCCATTACATATGCTTTTTGCCAAAACATACTGGATTCTTGCTATTCCCTAATATGATGCTTAACTTTATTTATTCATTAATTTGAATTAATTACAGTCTTTCATGGACCAGGCCCTTTGCTTCAAAGATCAAAGGCAAAGTTTCTGCTCTTAAGCAAACAATTATTTTAAACATTAGATCATGATAAAAGGCCACACCAGGTGCTGTGGGTGCACAAAGGTCAACTTCTAAACTGGTTTGGGTTGGTGAGGTCAGGAAGGACTTCACTGAGGAGTTCATACTTGAACTGGACCTTTAAAGACCAATAGGCGTTAACTAAGATAAGAATCAAGAAAAGTCTATTCCAAGCCAAAGGAAGATTGTTTTAAAAGCAAAAAGGCATAGAGAATAAAGACACAGGTGAGATTTGTGACTATTTCAGTGTCTGGAGCAGAGAGTGTGAATGACTGGGTGTGAAGAGGCTGGAGACTAGCAAGAGCTGGGTCAAGAAGGCCTTTGTGTGTGGTTCCATCTTCCATGTAAATACCCTGAGGGCAACAGGAATCCAGGAAGAATTTTAAGTAGGGGAATGACTAGTCTGATTTGTCCCTTTGTTTATGTTGTCCTATAAGCCTGAAATACTTCCCTTTCTCGTCTTTCCTCATAACCACACCCCAACGTCCACCTGTCTAAATCCTGCTCATCTTCCAAAGATCACAAAGATGCTTTGTCCTCCATAAAATTTTTACTTTACCTGGTCAAAAGTAATTTCACTCTCCTTTGTGTCTCCAAAGCCGCTTGGATTTGAAACCCAAAATGAGATTTTTAAAAACCTACAATATAGCAACAACATTAATTGGAATTTTTAAAAGGAAAAGTTATTAATAAAAAAAAAAAAAGGAAAAGTTATTTATAAGCCAATCACCAACATAACTTTTCGTATTGCATCTTCTTTTCTAAACTTATGAATATGCATAACATTTAATAATAAATCATAGTGTATATAACTTTATGTTTTTTTGGCGGTACGTGGGCCTCTCACCATTGTGGCCCCTCCCTTTGCGGAGCACAGGCTCCAGACGCACAGGCCCAGCGGCCATGGCTCACGGGCCCAGTCGCTCCGCGGCATGTGGGATCCTCCCGGACCGGGGCACGAACCCGTGTCCCCTGCATCGGCAGGCAGACTCTCAACCACTGCACCACCAGGGAAGACCTAACTTTATGTTTTATATTCCGTTATATCATATTAATGATTAAAATTTTTTGGTCATTTTTAATGGCTATATTATAAACCACTCCTGTATAACTGGATGTGAAGTTTGTTTTTAATTTTTAGCTATTTATAAATAATGCCATAGTTTTCACATGATTACTGTCCCATTCTTCTTTTTTCTGTTTTCGTTTTTTCCTGTTCGAATTATTTCCTTATGCTAAATTTTCAAGATTGGCATTGCTAAAACGAAGTGTGTTGAAGTGTCTTTGGCTTTAACCTCTTTACGCTTCCCCCAGTCAGTGAATTACCAAGAGAGGTTGATCCTTTGGTAACGTGGCTGGCATCATTCTCTTCCTTTTCATTCTCAGTCAGTTCTGTCTCTCATGCCAGGATTATTGCAGTCGTTTTTTTGAAAGATGACTTTTTAAAAAATTTACTTATTTTATTTATTTCTTTTTGGCTGCATTGGGTCTTTGTTGCTGTGCGCGGGCTTTCTCTAGTTGCGGTGAGCGGGAGCTACTCTTCATTGCAGCGCACGGGCTTCGCATTGCGGTGGCTTCTCTTGTTGCAGAGCACGGGCCCTAGGTGGACGGGCTTCAGTAGTTGTGGTGCACGGGCTTAGTTGCTCCACGGCATGTGGGATCATCCTGGACCAGGGCTCAAACCCGTGTCCCCTGCATTGGCAGGTGGATTTTTAACCACTGGGCCACCAGGGAAGTCCCTGTTTTTTCATTCTTGAATTTTTACTCTTGTCTCTAAACTGTTGCAGCTCAGCAAACAATATTCTCAGTGGCCCTCTTTTATTCACCAGATAAATTCCAAATTCCTTGACCTTGTTTTTAAGGCGTTCTACGGTCTGGCCCCATTTTTAATTTTCAACCTAGCTTCATGTTATTCCCCATCATGAACTGTCTGGTTCTCCTGGGCTCCTCTGTTTTCTGTTCTTTACATACTCAGGCCATCCCCACATCCAAGCCTTTCTTGGCGCATGTTTGTTCTCTCTCCCATCCCCTCTACCTGTCAAATCTTACCCATTTTCTTTAACATTTTTTGTTTTAGTTTTAATTTATTAATGATATTTGCCTTTTGAACAAAAACCCAATTCATGTAACAATGTATAATCCCCGTGGGAGGCTCTGGACTGGACTTTTTATTTTGTTAATCTTTTTTATTTTCTTCTTTTTCCTTTTTTTTTAACAAATTATACTAAAAAAAGTTATACTAAAAAAAAGAAAAACAAGACTAACACAAGATATAAATATATATATGTGTTTTTTTTAGGAATATGTTATTAAAGCTTAATGGTTTCTACCACCTCTTCTTCCAGGTTATCCCTCTTAAGGTAATCAGCATTAAAGTCTTGGTATCTTGGTATGTGTCCTTCCACACCTTTCTCTTTGCCCCTGTACACAAACTGTCTGGACCTCTAAGTGCTGCTCCTTGCCCCAAAAGGAATGGGAGCACCCTCTACACCAGCAGTTCTCAAAATGTTGTCCAGGACCCTTGGGGATTCCCTAAGACCCTATCAGGAGGTCTGCAAGCATAACTATTTTGATAATATACTGAGATGTTATTTGCCCTTTTACTGGGTTGACATTTGCACTGAGGGTACAAAAGCAATGGTGGGTAAAACTGCTGGCCTCTTAGCGTTAATCAAGGTGGTGGCGCCAAACCGTACTGGTCATTGTGTTCTTCACTGCCACATGCTTGCAGTAAATAATGCCAGTTTCACTTAAGAGTATCCTTGATGATGCAATAAAAATTATTAATTTTATTAAACCCTGGCTCTTTAATACACATCTTTTTATCTATTTTTCCAGGTTTATTGAGATATGACTGACATTTAACATTGTGTACAATGTTATAGGTGTACAAGGTGATGATTTGATACACATATATATTGCGAAAGGTTTACCACAATAAGGTTAGTTAACACATCCTTTACCTCACATAATTACCTTTTCATTGATTTATGGTGAGAACACTGAAACTCTACTCTCATAGCAACTTTCAAGTGTACAGTTCAGTTTTGCTGACGATAGTCACCATGCTGTACCTTATACCCCCAGAACTTACTCATCTTATAACTGAAAATTAAACATCTTTTTAGAGTTCTCTGTGAATTAAATGGGAAGTAAGCATGAAACACTGCTGCACACTGAAGTGGTGTCTCAAGGAAAAGCACTGGCGCAGTTGTTGGAGTTGTAAGCTAAACAAGCTTCCTTTTCATGGAACTCTATTTTTCCTTGAAGGAACCACTGACAAACTATAGTAATTCAGACCTGAGTACCTGATAGGCATTTTCCTGAAAAATGAAAGAAGTGAGCCTGTCATTTCAAGGAAAACAACTCTCAGTGTTTGTTGCCAGGGATAAGATTCAAGCCTTCAAGTGGAAATTAGAATTTTGGAAAACTTGTAACTGCCACTGGAAGCGTGACAGCTTTTCAGTAAAGGGTTTTCTGATGAGATTAACGGATGTGATTTTTTTAAAAAAGATTGCACAGTGAAATGCATAATATTACAAAATAAGAGCGTATGGGGGATTCTGAAAAAAGTTTAAGGATCTTTACACATTATTCTGCAACTTGCTTTTTCACTTAGTATATCATGAATACCATTCAAGGTCAGTACATCTGTATCTAACATTCTTTTTCATAATGGCACGGTGTTCCATCATGTGGATGACCCACGTCTATTTAGTCACTCATCTATTGATGGTCATTCAAGTTGCTTTCAGCTTTTTGCCAATTTAAATAATGCAGCAACATTATTATAATGCAAACATCTTTACATATAGCCTGTGTACTGGTGCTTTTATATCTACACTATGGATTCCTGAAAGTTGACCTATTTTTCACCATCCACCTTAATAAAACTTCCCCTTTTCTACATCCCTGGTCATTTCTCCTTCCTATGATTCTTGTTTTTGCCCTTTTTAGCCTCTTATTCATGTACTGTCCTTTGATGTCCTCATGCTGTTTTGTTTTTTTTAAACTTCCTCTATGCCTGCCCTGTCTTGCCAACTAGATTATAAAAGTAGAAACTCCCTGAGGGCAGGGATGGTGTATTATACAGTGTATAGGCACTCAGTAAATAATGAGAGTGGGATTGACGGTTGATATGAGAAAAGAATGCCTTAATGGATGCATTTAGTGGAAGGTGCTGGGGGATGCTGTGTGCATTCATGCATTCTTTCACCTTGGGGGCTATTTGAAAATTAGAAAGAGTAACTCTCCAATTTAATTCTCCCATTTCAGGCAAGTACATCGCTTCAACACAGCGACCTGACGGGACCTGGCGAAAGCAGCGGAGGGTGAAAGAAGGCTATGTGCCCCAGGAGGAGGTCCCAGTGTGCGTGGTTAGGCGTGAGGAGGGAGTATTTAGTGGGGTCCCTACAGCAAGAAAGAACATGTGTGCCTATGAGATCAGGGAAGAATTTCCTGATCCCAGGATCCTAGGAAAGGGAAGGAGGGGGCTGGGATTCAGGGATGAGTGAGGGATGAGTAACCAAGTGACTGACAAGTCCTGTTGCTATGGCCTCTATTCAGCAGAACCTGTAAATAGCATTCAGAGATCCAGAGCTTTAGGACCTAGGGATCCTACAACCTGCAGAGCAGAGGAAAGTTGGGGAGGGACCAGAGGCAGAGGAAGGAAGCAGGAAAGTGAAAAGGGTGAAATAAATTACAAGGTTAGGAAAAGGGCTCGAAAAGTCAGTGATTCTTTGACACTGTTCCCCGCAGGTATGAGAACAAGTATGTGAAGTTTTTCAAGAGTAAACCAGAACTGCCTCCCGGCCTGAGCCCGGAGGCCACTGCTCCGGTCACCCCATCCAGGCCGGAAGGTGGTGAACCAGGCCTCTCCAAGACAGCCAAACGCAACCTGAAGCGGAAGGAGAAGAGGCGGCAGCAGCAAGAGAAAGGGGAGGCAGAGGCCTTGAGCCGGACTCTCGAGAAGGTGTCCCTGGGAGAGACAGCCCAGGTCCCCAGTGCCCCACAGGCCTCCCGGGCAGCGCCTGCAGCTGCCTCCGACCAGCCTGACTCAGCTGCCACCGCTGAGAAGGCCAAGAAGATAAAGAACCTAAAGAAGAAGCTTCGGCAGGTGGAAGAGCTGCAGCAGCGGATCCAGGCTGGGGAAATCAGCCAGCCCAGCAAAGAGCAGCTGGAGAAGCTAGCGAGGAGGAGGGCATTGGAGGAGGAGCTAGAGGACTTGGAGCTGGGCCTGTGAGGCCTTTGGGGAATAGAGGATGGACAGCAGAACAAACCATGGGGCTCTCTGGGGTCCTGGGGAATGTGGGCAGCAGCAGTCAGGAGGGGTACCCCCGTACTGGCTCACTTTCACCTCTCATGGCCCAATTCCGTCCTCCAGAGCCTAACCTCTCCCTCATTCCTTCCCTTTTTTTCCCAACTCCTATTTTTTTGGACTTTTCTCCCTCCCATTCCCAGTGTTCAAAATCTCAGTGACTATCCCAGGTACCTTTGCTGCTGATTTGGGTGTCTTGTTTAAAAAAAAATTGGGTGGGTGGGAGTCTCTTGGAGAACTGAGGTTGAGGGTAGGGGGAGTACGCCCAAGTCTTGGAGTCTTGGTTCCTGTTCACAGTGTTTATGGGTTATTTCCCCCTCCATCCCTAACCTCTTTTTTTTTTTTTTTTTTAAAGAACAGAATAAACTCAAGTAGACAACATGTTTTGCCTCTCTTCTTTTCAGCTTCTAGTAGGTGTTTTATCCCCTTCAGTTTGGCACAGGAAGATAAGTATTGAGAGTAATATTCTTTTTAATTTTTAAAAATAATGTGTATCACCAAATTAGCAACACTGACTTCTGTACACATTTGCTCAGACTTCAGTGAATAGAAATTAGTGTTACAATAAAATGAAACTTAAAACAAATTTAATTTGATATTAATTTACATGTATCATCATTATTGTGCTGCATAGCAGTGGGGCCCTAGTATCTCCCTTACTGTTTACTTCTGAAGATCATTGACCTAATTTTTTTTTTTTTTTTTTGGCTGCATCACAGGGCTTGCAGGATCTTAGTTCTCCCACCAGGAATTGAACCGGGCCACTGCAGTGAAAGAGCCGAGTCCTAACCACTGGACCACCAGGGAATTCCTGGGACAGCTCTTTTGAAATTTTATCTTCTCAGATGCCATCCCAAGATGGCATTGTGGGGCAAACTAATGACACAGGACGAGGAATTTACAGCCAAAAAGAGCTGTCACTTAATTTTCGCATACCCTCTGATTTCCACACCTTCACTTGTCATCATCTTTCTTTCTAGCCAGCTGCCAGAATAGAAACCCACGGAGGAGAAGTCAGCCTTAGTTCTTAGCCTGACTCTTAAGGTTCTACCCAATCTGGCCTCATTTCTTGCCATTCTTTTAACTCTAGTCAAACTGCTTCAACTCTACTGAACTTTCATTTCATCGAATGAGCCATATTCTCTGAGCCTTAGTCCTTTGCCCCTGCTGGTCCCTCTGCCTAGAATACTCTTCCTGTCCCCTTCTCCCTAATCAACTCTTTCTTAGCCTTTGGATCTCTGCTTAAATGTTATCTTCTCTGGGAAGACTTTTGTTACCCTCAAATATTAATTAAGGTGTCTTTCTTAACCTGCTTCCTTAACACTCCACGCTTACATTTGTGGTGGCATTTATTATATTGTCACTTGTTTTCTTGTTAGCCCTTCTCCTCCTTATTAGATCATGTGCTCCTCGAGCATTGGGATTGTGTTTTTTATCATTGCATCCCGGTGCCCAATATAGTAAATTCTCAAATGTTTGGCTGAATGAATGAAGACACAAGCTATGTGGGGAAACAGAAGACGAGGGAAAATGTATGCCTTCCACACCTGAGCAGTTACTGAGAACTTGATTGGGCACATCAGTGTGAGACCAAAAGTTCAACTTCCCTTGTGTAAGAAAGACCCCTATGCAATTATAAAGATTTTAAATAAGATTTTTCAATACAAATTTATTTATTTATTTTTGGCTGGGTTGGGTCTTCGTTGCCGCGCGTGGGCTTTCTCTAGTTGTGGCGGGCAGGGGCTACTCTTCGTTGCAGTGTGTGGGCTTCTCATTGTGGTGGTTTCTCTTGTTGCAGAGCATGGCTCTAGGCGCGCGGGCTTCAGTAGCTGTGGCTCTCGGGCTTAGTTGCTCCACGGCATGTGGGATCTTCCCGGACCAGGACTCCAACACGTGTCCCCTGCATTGGCAGGCGGATTCTTAACCATTGCGCCACCAGGGAAGTCCCTTAAATAAGATTTAATTGGCTTATAAGTAGGTATTTGATGCTTTGTAAGTTCAGATGTTATAGAGGAATCTATACTTTAAAAGTCATTATTAGGGAGAGATTACTTGCTTTGCAAAAGCACAGTATTTACCACAGTAAACCTTTAAATTTCCTGGATCTTTAGTAGCTTGGTTAAAGTTTATTTTGATATTTTTTGGGTCCCATCAATCATTGCACTAGTCTGGAGGGATGAAATTAGGAACACATTTTACACAATTCTACACATTGTAGAACCTTCATTTAAGGAAGCTCTTAAGTCATGTAAATCACTAAGCACTGGCCAGATTTAATTAAGTGCTGTGGTAGAGGTATCAGCAATGAGTTGAGGGAGAGCTAAGAAAGAAACTGTTTATTCTAAGTGCGGGGATGGTGAGCCTTAATGGTGAAGTTGGATCTTAAAGAAGACTATGACTGGCATCTCAAGAAAGACAAGTAGTGGGGAGCAAGTATGTACAAAGGCTTGGCAGCATGAAAGGTATGTGGTAAATTTGCTTTCAATTTTGATTTTTTTTTTTTTTTTTTTTTGGCCGTGTGGCATGCAGGATCTTAGTTCCCAGAGCAGGGATCGAACCCACACTCCCTGCAGTGGAAGCGAGGAGTCTTAACCACTGGACTGCCAGTGAAGTCCCAATTTGCTTTCAATTTTGTAGGGGCACATTTTCTTACATAAAATCAACGTTAATTACTTGATTAATATTACACTAACTAAGTTAGTGTTTTTCTATATGTGGGTAATGAAATCAATTTAGAAACTTGTGACCAGTACTGCTTCTTAAGTAGAATATAATAGAGCAGAGACTGATGCTTTATAAGAGTAAATATGTCTCACAATAATTTTGTTTCAGATATATACTATATGAGTATTGGGTTAGAATGTAAGATGTTTTCCTTACCTTTGTTTGCAGGAAAATAAATTTCAAAGCCACTAATGAAATCAATACTGAGGGGCTGAAGCACCACACACACTTTCCTTCTGGTCTTTATATTTGGGATGGGTGGAATAGAAGGATATTAGTTTAATTATTTCCTCAAGGACCCTTATTGCTTATGGTGAAGGACATTAGCCCCTGGCTTTCTTTTTAATCCTGAGACTATATTACTATTTACTTACCATTTCTTTCCTCCTTGCAGATGAATCCTCTCTCCTATTGTGTAAATAGCAAAGATTCTAGGGATCCAGAAGTGAATTATTTTAGGATTGGCCTTTTACCCTCACAGGCTCAGAATCCACGTGTTAGTTTCTTATTGTCCACTAGGTGGTACTGTGAGGGGTCAATGTTTGCGACTTATCTTGTCCCTAGACTCCAGCTTGTTTTGAAATTAGCAGATAGGTTTACTCAGCTAGAAAATCTTTTTTCTTCAGGCTCCCAGGCACTCCAGGATGGGATATATAGATCTCCCTTCCCTACCCAACTATAACCTAGAGCTACAAATTGAGGAGGATAGAGAATCTGGGATCGAGAGGGTACCTTTTTTTGTCAGTAATGCCATCTCTCAAAAGAAACAGTAATGCTTTCCATTCTCTCCTGGAAATCAAAGATGCTGAACTGCAGTGGGAGGGAAGGAGATTATAACCCCAAATAGATAACTGACTGAGTGGGGGTAATAGAATTGGCTGAGAGGTGGGGAGAGAAATGTTAAAGGATCTCTTTTTTTGGGAAAGCAACAAGACATAGATTTTGATTAAATTCAGCAAACATTTTTCAAGAGTCTTCTACAGTCCAGGAGAACCCAAAGTTGGATAAATTTTGGTACCTCCCTTCTAGAACCTCAAGAAAAACAAAGAAGAAAACACTCAACAATAATAAAGTGTAAAAGATACTCTATTAGGGGCAAGCCGAGAGGGGACTCCTAAGTCCCCCATCTGCGGGGGTGGGGACAGGCAGGTGGTGATCACGGAAGGCTCCCCAGAGGACATGACTAGTCTGAGTCTGGAAGGATGAGTCCAACATTCTAGAAATCTACAAGGTTCTGCTGTACTCAAGTCTCCCCTGGTGACTTCATTTACTCTTGTGATTTCAATAATTACCTCTGTGCTAATAACTCCCAAACTTTCTCTAACCCGACCACCTCTAAAACCTGCCTATCCAATATCTCCTATTCGGATGTTGGTGCTTCAGATTCAATTTGTCTAAAACCCAGAACTGAAAGAAGCTTGAGGCTATTGGTTTTTACAGTAGTCATATAATTCTTATCCTTATTCATTATCTAGGTGGATATCCTAGTCACTATTTGTCTGAACTACTGCAAAAGCACACTAACTGGTCTCCAACTTAGATCTCTCTCCACCACCCACTTCCCCCAGTCAGTCCCACACACTTTGATCTTCAACAAGATTTGCTTCCTTTAAGCCCAATGTTGATGGTGTCATTTCATCAAACAACAACCTTTAATGCGTTCCGTTTGGTCTACCCAATGGAGATCAAGCTTATTCATCAGATAATCAAGGCAGTTACTATGGTCTGAATGTTCATGTCCCCCCCAAATTCATATGTTGAAATCCTAGTCCCCAAAGGGTATTAGGAGGTGGGACTTTTGGGAGGTGATTAGGTCATGAGGGTGGAGCCCTTGTGAATGAGATTAATGCTCTTATAAAAGAGACCCCACAAAACTTCCTACCCCCTTCCACTATGTGAGGATACAAGAAGTCTGAGACCTGGAAAAGGGCCCTCACCTGACCATGTTGGCACCCTGATCTCAGACTTTCAGCCTCCAGAATTGTGAGCAATAACATTTTTTTCTTTTTATCAAGGTATATTTGATTTACAATATTATGTAAGTTTCAGGTGTACAACATAGTGATTCACAACTTTAAAACATTATGCTCCATTTATAGTTATTATAAAATATTGGCTATATTCCCTGTGCTGTACAATATATTCTTGTATTTTATTTATTTCATACATAGTAGTTTCTACCTCTTAATTCCCTACTTCTGCCTTGGACTTTCCCACTGTGAGCAAAAACTTTCTGTTGTTTATAAGCTACCTAGTCTGTGGTATTTTGTTATAGCAGCCTGAATAGACTAAGATAGCACTCAATGTTTTGGTTCTGAATTACTCTTTCTACCTTATGTTCTGATTCCCTTAAGTGCCTTTTCTAGCTAAACTAACCTATACAATATTGATTTTCTAAATACAGCTCTTTATTTCTCAGTGTTTAAGCTTTTTTTCATTTATTTTTTAATTGAAGTATAGTTGATTTACAATGTTGTGTTAATTTCTGCTGTACATCAAAGTGACTCAGTTATATACATATATACATTCTTTTTTATATTCTGTTCCATTATGGTTTATCCTAGGATATTGAATATAGTCCCCTGTGCTATACAGTAGGACCTTGTTATTTATCCATTCTATATGTAATAGTTTCATCTACTAACCCCAAACTCCCAGTCCATTCCTCCCTCCCCCTCCCTACCCCCTTGGTAACCACAAGTCTGTTCTCTATGTCTGTGAGTCTGTTTCTGTTTCATAGATAGGTTCATTTGCACCACATTTTAGATTCCACATATAAGTGATACCATATGGTATTTGTCTTTCTGTCTTCACTTAGTATGATAATCTCTAGTTGCATCCATGTTGCTGCAAATGGCATTA